TGTTCTACGGTACACATCTTCTACGCATTTTCTACAATCTTTGAGTGCGTGATTATATAATAAGCGTACCTATACAATTAATTAATATAATTATATAAGATAATTACCTAGACTAACCTTCCCTCTGTCCGCACACACCAGTCGACCGTCGAAAATTCGAAAATAGCAAATACTTCGTCATGACGCATAACTATAACCTACGGAATAAACCGTCGACGGCAGATTTCGAGCTCCTTATCGGACATCCGCGTGCCACGTTGTAACTGAAGGTAGGTTTACGCGGTTATATTGYGGTATTATCCGAACGCGGTTATTGATGATGAGTTTTCGAGTGTATTCACTGTTTACACTCGAGAATTGTTTCTCCCCGCCGCGAAACGTGTGTACGTAAATAGTTTTGACCGTTTAGACAATAGCAGTAATTAGTTATCGCGTGTTGACGCGCATACCCGAAACTATTTGCAACAACGGAGAATGTTTTAGTTATGTTTTATGCGGTACCTATACCTACCTACATTGGTGAGCAACGCAACAGTGTTAAATTATGTGAAGTTGAAGCGGTCAACGATAATAAACTGAATACCGTGCAAAATCGAAACTGAAAAATGTCATATTTTATGTGGACTGCTGCAGTCAAGAAAACCGAGTTCAAAATAGCCAGTGAAATAATATTRTACATATAGCGACGACTGGTTATGAGTGTTATGACTGTGAGCCGGTCGTTGGCTGACCAAATATTATTAGAGATCTCGGCGGTGTGATTAATTCTAAAAACTCGAGACAATTTTAGAAAGATTAATATATAATAAAAATAATGATGATAATAAAAATAATTTCTTTAGTATGCATAAGTAATACTTAAAAATACATTATTATGTAAACGTATACCGTTCGTCACACGTTTTTGTCACAATTTTTTTTATAGACTTAAAAAAAGGTCTGTAGTTTTTGCATTGTTTTTTTTCTTTGTAGCAATTTTTTTGTAAAATTCTAATTTGTATACTTTGATTTCAGCAGTGAAATGAATCAAATTTTATATTTAACCAAATGTGTTTGATTTGTCATCAAAAATGTATATAAAGTTTGAATTTGGAAATCAAAATGCTACTATTTGATTTATACCTAACTGTTTTATTTCACTTTTGATTTTCTTTTAAATTATTAATAACTCTGTTGATAATATTTTCATTAATAATTGTTCATTTACAAAGAAACCTTTTAACAATAGTTAGTAAAAGATTATATATTTATCAGATTCATATTACACTAATTAGTTATTATTAAATATTTCTGAATCTAATTATTTTAATGCACTTAGTAACGTCTTATTTTTTAGATAATATTTTTTATCATTGTATATCATAATAAAAATAAATTAGCTATAACTTTGTGACTTGTGGATTTCATATGCTTGTAAGCGTTTGAAATTTGAGTGCGTGAATAATAGAAATAAAAAAAACGTAAGAGTTTAAAGAGCTTTGTCCTAAATTTAGTTTGAAAAAGCCAAGCCACCCGGTTGTTTTACATAATATTATGCAATATTGTAATACCAAATTTTTTTTATTTCGTGATRGTTATTTTTTATTTAACAAAAGATTGTTTAAATTATATATTATGAAAACAAAAATTGTATTTYATTTCATTTAACCTCATTCTTATGTAGTAAATATACGATCATATTGCAGATCAACTCAACAATAGTGCCATCTCAGAGCATCTTATGCAGATGGCAAAATTAAGTGTCTTTTGAAAAAAATCCTTTAAAACCACAATCCAATTATCTTAAAGAACACATTAACTAGGTAACTGGCTTCTTAGAGTATAGATTTTGGAGAATGAATGTTAACAAAATCTAATCCAAACTAATAATATAACCTACCCCTTCATTCTGTCCTACCACCAATCAGTTATTAATATGATATTATTTATATGTATAAGTCAGTATAGTACCTACATTTATTAATATGATATAGTTATAATATGTAGTTTGTTTTATTTTATTAGTATGTATATTATATCTGTAAGATTACATTTTTTTTTAAATAAACGAACTCCTTTTTTAAACACCATTAATATAGTTTTCGAAAAAGGATAAGCCAAGCACAGAAACAAAAAAAACTTATCTAAAAAGGCATTAATATCAAAATATATTATACATTACTATAACTGTAAAATAATTTAGTTATTTAAAAAAATATTATTTACATCTGGTATGTAGATGTGTTATTCATATTATTATAAGTAATCTGAATATTAAAAACTGTATTCTAGATGGTAATTAAATTTTTATTGACTGAATATCATGAAAATTTTTTAACATTTGTTTTAACTATATGTAGTATTTTTGAATGTTTACAGTTCGATAAATAAGAAAAAATATTAAAATAAGATATATTTTCATACAATTTWTTCATTCAAGATTACTTTGTCATTGTTAATAATGTAGTTTTATACTATTTTCAGGTGTTTATTCAACTGCTCAAAGTGGAATCAACCACATACAAAAAATAACTACGTAACAATCGATCAAACATCGTAAGTATATATATATAACATTCATGTACGCATCATTGTTATTATTCAAAATATAATGCACACTATACAATATTGAGCTAACAACCGACGACGATTTTAATTTATGATGTTACTTGTAATAACAACACCGTTTACTACAATATATTATAACTATTATTTACAAATGTTAAAAGCACTTATGTATTAAAAAATTTTTAAAAACAGTAGGTCATCATAGACCATCGAATATCGATATGGTTGGAAATTTATTAGGTATTTAAAATTGATAATTTTGTGAAATCATTTTGACATTTACATTTTTTTATTCGCAATGAAAAACATAGTATMAATGTAAATTATGTCCTCTCGGGGAGAAGTAATAACAATTTTTCCAAAAGTATTTAGTATCCATTTACTAGTAGCGGTTTATATATATGTATATGATTTGTAYTTCTTGCAATAAACTATAATATTATGCACTATTATCATGTCAAAAACGACATAATATATAGTAAAGAAATACGATCTGATGTGTCATATTTTTCCGGTAAAGTTGAAATTGAATTGTAATTTGTTTACATGGGATCTCGGTGTCGGGTTTTTCTTTTTAAGCGGCTGAGATTTTCATCTCGTGGGAATTGCATCGTGCTTTTGGTACTTGGGTCACCGAGGCGTATTTGAGTTTTTTCTTCTTTTTAAGTTTGAAAAGCGATTAGCCATCGTCACGTTCTTAAAATGACTTGAAACGTCAGAACACATCTAGAATTATTTAACATTCCGACATTACATGTTATTTTGTTTTTATTTTTTTACAGAGTTATTCACTAAACGTGTTCATCCCCATTTTTCCTTTAGTTATGAGTTCATTACAATTTCGATTTCSAWTTTTTTAAATACTACTCAGACAATATTTTTWAAATTTTTAAAWTTTTTTTTTMTTTTTAAGGAGTGTCTTTTGGCGATATASACTTCAGGTTTTCAAATGAGAACCCCCACCCCCCTTTACTGTAGATTATTTAATTCAAAATTCAAAAGAGTATAGTTCTTGATTATATTACTCAAAAATAGTTTTACAAAAATATAAAATCGGTGTAATATTGGAACTAGTATTTATTATACTATGGTCGTTTTTACAAAAATTACTAATGYGATAGATTAATTTTAATTACTATATCATTTATCATTTATATAGTATATTTATTAATTTCACATAAACTTTAATTATATTTGTATAATATCATAACTGTCGAACTATAATGAACTATAATAGTTATATGCTGAAARATTTAAAATAAAAAATGTTAAACAYGGTACAATTTTTAAATAACCACAGTACTCGTATTATCTTCAAAAAAAACATGGACYTTTTATTCTTAGGACACAAAGTTGAATAATAGAAAAACTACTGGTWYGAATTTAAATTCTRATAGTCAAATTTCAGACTGAATAATTTACAATTGAAAAAGGATCCTCATTTGAAAAACAGAAGTTTATATCTTCACAAGATTCTTTTTAAGTAGTACAAAATATCTCGAGAATTTTAAAATAATATGGTTTTTAAGAACATATTTTTAAGATGTCCATACGTCAGATTTTAAATTACTGCATTATTGAAGAAAAAAGAGGGTGTAAGTATGCTTGGTGAATTACTCTGTATGCATTTACGAGAGTTGACAAGAAACGTGAAATTCATTGATAGACCCAAGAAGGAATTGCATTGATATTTGGTTTCAAAAGTCTCTACGACGATCAATATATTTCATGAAAAATTTAAGCATTTTAACCATATACTTATTTGTGTTCCATTTCGAATTTAAAATTGAAAACGTTTTTATTTAAATTTCAACGGGGTTTAATAAATATTTCAAACAATTTTCTTCGGTAATAAAATGTATTTGTTAAAAAAAAAATCGATATTACGCTTTGGCTAACATTGTTGAAAGTTTTCTTTTTGCTACAACTTTAATGGTATTATTAGCACTAAATTCTTACCTTTTGCCTATATTTACAAAATGTATTATCTATAAATTTCTTTTGTTGTTTTTCACATTCAAAAATATAATACAGAAGGATAAAAATGAAAAAAAAAACTTAAATGTAATATTTTTATCCATACTTATTAAGAGGACGCCACACCCGCATGTGTTGTCTCCGTCGTACAAATGCGTAGCATAGCAAATTTTACGCTCAGCAGATCACGTTTAGCTCCGTTAATTTAAATTTAGAGTGAATTRACCTATTATAARAATTAAAGGTAAGATTATTACCGAGGGTATCTCATAAGCTTTTTATTTTATTTTRATTTTAAACCGAGTTATGAGTATTTTAAAATTGTAAATTATTTTTATATCTAAAAATACTCATAACTCGTTTAAAAATTAAAATATAATAAAAAACCTATGAGATGCCCTCGGTAATAATCTTGCCTTTAATTTTTATAATAAGTCAATTCACTCTAAATTTTAAATTAACGGAGATAAACTTGATATGCTGAGCGTAAAATTTGCTATGCTACGCACTTGTACGACGGAGACAACACATGCGGGTGTGGCGTCCTCTTAAAGTCATATCAAAGGTCGTTATGCGTTTTTAAGTTCAGTATTCAAAACCGCAAAATTCGAATACTATACTTTTGTCTCATCATCTCAAAACTTCCCTCCTCACCCTCCCAAAGTAAAGTTTCTTATGCCTCCGTCGCTGATTCCAATACTATCCCATTACCTAATAGCCACACTGGTGATACGTCGTTGGCTAAATTTATTTCTGCGCTTTCCTCATTAGTTAATCCTCTAATCACGCTCCTCACAACTGTTCTAAACAAACAACTTATTTCATAGTCCAATATTTTTTTCTTCATCAGTTATATTATAATAATATTAATTATCAAATACGTTATCTATAACTGTAAATTTTAATGGGCTATATATTATCTAACCATTATTATTTTATATGACACTTAGTTATCACCATCTAAATCACAATGTTGCACGAATATTATTTTGTAATGTATATCTTTATTATCTTTGTTATATTTTGATAATTGTTTAGCTATCATAGTTATACTAGAAGCTGATAAAATAAAGTTCAATATCAGCCTCCGTGGTAAATAAAAAATTTAATAGATAGTTTTTATTATTTCGTRATCAACAAGAAGTTCACATCACGGGCATCGGATGAATATCGAACAGTTTTAAAATGAAAATAAATTAGAAAAATATTCACGTCAGGCATACATTTTTATGAACCTAATCGTGTTATTATAAACTTCAAAACATACCATGGACTYCGGTCTTTTGTATATTAGGTGTATCGTTATTGAGTAAGTCATTGTGATAATATAATTGTGTTAAATTAAAATTAAACGATAAATTATTTCATACGAAAAATGATTGTGACGGTCAGCCATTATTCCTAACGATATTTTATGATATATTTATATCTATTGATTTTTTATTTGTCCATGTGTAAAAAGCTGTGTTATAAGCTTAATTGATAAATTTAAAATAACAAAGTGATGTGGCGTCCCAACGGAAACACTTCGTCATGAGTAATTCATTTATATATTCTTCATTTTTTCATTTTAGATACCTAAGCGAAAAGTCTTAGCCTACCTCCTTCACCTGAAGTACCAAATTTATTCCTTAAAACAGAATTAAGACAAGTGTACAAATTGTATAATCCTAAAATGTGATGATGACAAAAAATAAATACTTTTTTGTGCATATCATTTTAAAATCAATAAATTCCTCCAATAACTACCTTCAAAGTTCATTGCCCCGATAAATGATCTATATACAGTGTGATTCCCCTTACACTCTTAACAAGGTTCAGTTTTCTTTACTTTTTAATATAATTAATAGTTTTTTTTGTTTTACTATTATAATGATAACACTTAAATTTTCAATATAATATTACTAAATGAGTTGTTTTAATATGTATAGAACTATAAGAATTAATTTTATTTCCGATTATGTCGTCAAATATTAGTGTGAAAGCGATATGGACGCGTAAGTTAAATTGCATGAAAACTTATAATTTTTTCCTTCTCTCGTATTTTTAAGGTGCCCCATGTGCATTTTTAATGAGGGAATAGATGTAGTATTGATAGTTTTGATTTTACATTTATCTTTCATCTATTTTTTCATTGAAATTGAGTTTTGGGTTTTGATTTGAACGATAGATTTAAGAACCCAACCTTATAAATATTATATATGTGTTCTCACTCATTATTTTTATCTTCGTATAAAATTATTTTCTTAAAAAACTATTCATGTTTTTGCAAGTACTAAATTTATTGTTCCTTGAATCAAGATACTTTGGAACATATAAAATAGTCTCTAGTTAAAAGTCAATTGAAATTAATCTTATTTGTAGTTTATTATACTTTTGAATATATTTAAATGCTTATTTGGATTCAAATATTTGTGTAAGAGATAACATTTGAGATTTTTCTTTACTTTGTATTACATAGTAGGTACATCAAAGAAAATAGTTAAGCATAATTATTATATGATAAATGTAAATCTATAATTTATAATAATTAACTACTAAGTAAATCTGGTTACGGGAAACTTTCTTAATTATAATACTAGTGTCGTGGACGTAACCTATTTGCAATCTCATTTGTTTAAAAAAAAAACATCAAACGAACAAAATAATTGTAATTCTAAAGGAATAATATTTAAGAAGAATATTATTTGAGATCGTGCAACGAATAGAATGCTTTCTTAAACAGACATGTTAATTTTTTTTTTTTTTCTGTGTCTGAAAACTCGCCTTGTGATCCTTCAGATATTGTGTGTTGTTCGAAGCTTTGGTATAAAAAAAAAAAGAGAATGAAATAACACATTAAAATGAAAAAGAGCAACGTTATGTCTGAGACACCGCCAACGCAACCTCATCCTCGTTATTCGTTTTCAAGGAGACACTATCTAGTGGTATTATCGTGTCTCGTTTGCGTTTTACATTTAAATCTCAACCGTTTATCGTGCGTACCACTACGCCCTATAGCATATATRCAC